CTTCCGTCTGTGAACCATATGTAAGAGGGCTTAGATAAGGGTCCTTCCTGAATATGTATGAGACAGGGAAGTAGGGACTCAAGGACCTCAACACAGTTATGGATTGGAGTGTCAGTGGGAGAGGAAGGAAGTAGTGAGGCCAGGTGAAGAGGCACACAAGCTTGGAAGGAGATGGAAGGATCTTGGATAAAGAAAACTAGAAGAGAAAGAGCCCGGCCGGGAGGGAGTGTTTTGAGGCCTTTATATCCTAGGAGGTGATGTAGATGATGGGGAGAAGTTACAGTGATAGGTGCTCCAAAAGTGAGTTTTTTTTATTCACACACCAGTAAGTAGGCGACTGATAGAGCCCACAGGCACGGGGCCCATCCCTGGACTGTGTGGTTGAGTTTTTTTGAAAGATAGGCTGTGGGGGCAAACGTTTGTCTGCTAAGTTGACCTAGGACTCCTAAGACTGTACCCTTATTTTCGTGGATGTATAGGGTGAAGGGCCGGAGGATATCGGGTAGTCGTAGGGCAGGGGCCTGGAGGAGAGCCTGTTGGAGGGCAGTAAAAGGCTGTTTAACGGCTGAGGGGGAGAGTAAGGGTTCCTTTGGGTCGCCTTTAGCGAGGTTGTAGAGTGGCTTGGCGAGAAGGGCGAAATTGGGGATCCAGGCTCAGAAGTAGCCCGCTAATCTAAAAAATGACTGGATTTCCTCCTTTGTCTTTGGTGTTTGCAGGGATTCAATAATGGCTTTACGGTTGGTTGTTATGGCCTTTTGTTGGTGTGAGATGGCGACCCCAAGGTAGGTGACCTGTGTTTTGGACAATTGAGCCTTTTGGGGGGAGGCTCGGTATCCCTTTTCTGCTAGAAAGTTAAGAAGTAGGGCCGTGTTGTTGTGAGAGTCTGTAAGAGAGAGGCTGCATAAGAGGAGATCATCTACATATTGAAGTAGAGTGGATTTTGAGAGTGATAGGAGTGTGAGGTCTGCTGCCAGTGCCTGACCGAAGAGGTGAGGACTATCTCAAAATCCCTGTGGGAGGACTGTCCATGTGAGTTGTTGGGAGTGGCGGGAAATGGGGTCTGTCCAGGTAAAGGCAAAAATGTCTTGGGAGTCAGCTACCAAGGGAATGGTGAAGAATGCGTCTTTGAGGTCTATGACTGAAAAATAAGTTGCTGTTGGAGGAATGGTGGACAGGATGGTATAGGGGTTGGGGACTAGTGGATGGATGTGGAGAATGGCTGAGTTTATTTGTCGGAGGTCTTGGATGAGCCGGTAGGTTCTGTTGGGTTTTATGATGGCCAGAATGGGAGTATTGTAAGGCGAGTTGCTGGGTCTCAAATACCCCTTCTGTAGCAGGGTTTTTATGACAGGTTGTAGACCTAGCAGACTGGCTCTGGGGAGGGAGTATTGTGGCTGACTAGGGTGGGTGAACAGGTTTTTTAACTGGATGTGAATGGGCGGGCATTGGGCTAATGAAGGGGTGTGCGTGTCCCAAATCAGTGGGTTGACCGTCGAGGTGAGTGGGGGA